AAACTTATGAGAGGTTGGAAAATCATACAAAAAAAAGACATAAAGGAGTATATGAATGTAATCAATGTTTATCTACATTTATTCATTATATGGACTTAAAACAGCACATGAAAGTACATACTGGCGAAAAACGATATATTTGCAAGGTACGTGCTACAAAATTATTATTAGTAATTTTTCTAATTATTTTTTATTTGATTGTTTTTATTTTTACTTTCCTTTAATCATAAATGTATTCTATTTTAGGAAATATGCGGCAAAACATTTATTCATGAATCTCGTCTAAAAAAACACCAACTTATACATAGCGATATAAAGCAGTATACTTGTGAGACGTGTGGCAAGACCTACAACTTTAAAACCTCTCTTATTCGACACATTCAAACTGAGGTCATTTATGATATGACATTTTAATTCATTTGTACACTTACATTTGTCTTTATATTTTTGTTATATCCTGATAATTATATTATAATAGATTAAAAGTGTAATATTCCACATCACACGTGATAAATAAGAAATTATTTATTTTTTAGGGTCACTACCTGGTCACCTCTTGTACGACAAGCAAAGAATAAATAGCAACTATCAACGAAGGAGATAATGAACAATTATAACTACTAATAATAACGAATAATAACTAGTAATAGTGACGAACTGATGAATGAAGTGTAGAATAAAAATGTAACTTTTGTATGAGATTTCATATGTATTGTACGGGAATCTTTTAGAAGATACAATTTTTTTCGGAGATACAATTGAGCACTGTCAGAGCACAAAAGCATCATCGTAAAAGGTTGATAATGTGTTCTAAAGACAAAATCGTACAATAATTTTGCATAGCTTAATACTTATAATAATTTTACGTTTAATTTGAGTTTAAAGTAGTATACTCGCAAACAGAAACAAAATTTTTGAAATTGATGCTATATCGTATATCACTAAGAGGCATCGTTACACTTCTGCAATTGCTATGAGATTGATGTTTGAGTACTAAACTGTAAGCAATTGCTGTATTTTTTATATTGCCTACAAAGTTAATGAAAATACCGCCTTTCTTTTTTTGAGCCTAAACTAGCAATGACATGTTAATGAGAAGGAAATGAGTAAGGATCTTGAAAGGAATAATGTGAAACCAATCCCGCAAAAAAAATGTTTTATATATAGTTTAAAAAAATTATTTAAAAATACAATTTTAAAATTATTTAAAAATATAATTTTAAATAATTTTAATAAATGTATATATAATTATATAATTATATATATTTTTATATAACTATAATTATATATTTATATATATTTCTATATAAATATTATATATTTATATATAATTGTACACAAAATTTTTTTTCGGCGACATATAACTTTATATTATTTAATTTGGAAAAGAGTCGTGGCAAAAATTCAATTTTCATTGCGTCATATAAATCGACGAGAACATAACATTTAGCTGCGTCTATCAACATTCACTTTTTCCATATGTTTGCGATTATGACCAGGCACAATCAAAAATTTTCTTTCACTAGCAATAGTGAAAAGTGACAGTATCAAAATGCTTGAGCGAACTTAACTTCTAATAATTTTATTGCTAATGTACTATATAATATAATAGGTACGTTTTTTATAACTTTCTACAGCATAATAAGTATTATTATATTTATTTAATATGCGATGGATAAGGATAAAATATTGTTTACGGCGTGTGGGCGTAAAAATGAAACTTTGATCGTAATAAAAAATTAATTTTAATGTTAATTTAGTTGACTGTATCTTCAGAATACATAGAACATCTAATTTTAACATTGGAAGTATGTGCTGATTATTACTCTTGTATATACTACTGGTATGTACTATTATAAGTTGAGAAAAATACATTAATTATATTAAAGCAATTAATATTATAGAGCATTAGATATTTTTTTTATTTCGTTATTGAATCATCACTATAACATTTTTGTGATAAAATTCTAGAAACTTTTTGATATAAATACATACGATACTCCGTCGAAAATGAGAAGATTTATAAATGCTTGTTTAATATTTACTTGAGCGCTTGCAAGAATTCGTTGAGAATTTAGAAACGGTCAGTAGAGCATCCATTAAGCAGATATTACTTAACGTCAAGAACTTATTTAACAAAGACTTGTCTCAAGACACTACAACGCAACTCTGCGCTTGCCGAAGGTTCTAACTTCGCAGTGAGAAAGGTTCCAAAGAAAGAGATTATCAGCCAAATAGAGTCAATCATCCACCGACTCCCATTAGAACAAGCAGATAATATCCGCAGATGGATAACTAATATCCTTTCCAAAGTCAAACCTCCTCCACCTAACATCACTAGACAAGAGGGATTGGCCCTCAAGACCTTAACAGGGACACAGACATCATCGCGCTTCCAGCCGACAAAGGCAACATGACAGTAGTCATGAACACATCAGACTATAAGAAAAAGATGAAGAACCTTCTTTCGGACAAAGCATACAAAAAGCTTGACAAAGATCCAACTAATACAATCGCACAAAACTCTAAGATCCTAGTGGAGGAAAGCAACATTCCCAGTCAAACCAAATCAACATTATCTCTTCCACCAAGACTATACGGACTACCAAAAGTATACAAACCAAACATCCCCCTCAGACTGATTGTCAGCGCCATACACTCCCCGACATACAACTTATCCCGCTTACTAGCACAAACACTACAACTTCTCACTGAAAAATCCGAATCACACATAACCAACTCAACGGACTTTATAAAAAAGATTTAAAAAATCCGACTACATCGGTCCCACAGACCTACTTGTAAGTTTTGACGTAGAATCCCTTTTCACACAAGTTCCAATAAAAAGACACGTTAAACATAATAAAGGCTTCACATAAAGTTGTCTCCGATCTCATCCCATTAATAGAGCACTGCTTAACAACCACTTACTTCTATAACAATCAATTTTATGAACAAACTTCAGGAGCGACAATGGGCTCTCCTATTTCTTGTGTAATCGTCAACATCTTCATGCACTTTGAGAAAGAGGCCCTCAGAAAAACACCTAAGAAACCAGAAGTTTGGTTCCGTTATGTAGACGACACATTCGTGATGTGGAGACACGGCAGAGCCGAACTCCGTAAATTCCTTATTTTTTCCTCAACAATCAACATCCAAATATCCACTTCGCTATAGATATAGAAGAAAACGGAAAATTCCCCTTTCTAGATGTTCTTATCTCTAAGAAAGCTGACGGTACCTTAGGCCATCAAGTGTACAGAAAACCAACACATACAGATAGATACCTACTGCCGAATCGCACCACCACAGAAACAGTCTGCAATCAACTCACTTGTACATAGAGCTTTCACCATCTCTGACAAAGAACATCTACAGACAGAACTCAATCACTTAAAACTAGCCTTACAGAGAAACGGACACGACAAAAAAGACATAATTAAAACAATCAATAAACATACAAACAAGACAACAGTCTCTGACACACAACCAGACGAAAGGATTCTATCTTCCTTTCTCCTATATATCAATGAAACAACAGATCAGATTGGCAGAATATTAAACAAACACAATATCCGAACTATCTTTAAATCACCCAAAAAGATAGGATAAATCTTAAGAAGTCCTAAAGATCAAAGCCTCCATTCAGCTCCGCAGGAGTATACAAAATATCTTGTTTCTGCTGGCAAGTATATATTGGAGAAACCGGGAGAATGGTCAATCTACAGATAAAAGAACGCCAGTGATGTCAGGCTAAAACACGTCACGCAGTCAGCATTATCAGAACACAACATCGAAACAGGACATCAAATACTGTTTGATAAAACGACAATAGCCAACATTACTTCATATTTTCCAAGAAAGTATAGAGAAGCCATAGAGATACAAAAACATTCTAACAATCTAAATAGAGGTAATGGCTACAACATAAATAAAATATGGAAAACCATTCTCCCGGTTATTGAAGACTGACCAATTTCCCCCTCCCCATAATTCTCTTCTTTCCCCCTACCACTCCAACAAGTAGCGTATAAAAAAAAAGGGTACAGCCCGGAGGAACAGCTCAGTATCAGGCTGCTCTTCGCCCTGATGAAGTGGACTGCAAGGTTCACGAAATGTTGACATTTCAAGAATGGATCTAGACACGGAGGAAACCCGCATAAACTTTTATATAAAAAGCACCCATGGAAGCTTCAAGAATATTATATAAAACAATTTTTTAAATACAATGAATATTATACAAAATTTTATAAATATTTCTACTAGTCTAAAATAATGTATTTCTTGATATTATTTCTTAATATTAATATATTTAATATAATTGCATTTACTTTTATTAATTATACGCAAAATTTAGGTAAAAACAGTAAATTAACTAACAGAGAAGCATTGAACTTTTCGGCCAATGTCCATATAAAAGTGAATGCTACTTTCAGGTTCTTCGAGACTTGATGCAATTGTCAATTACATGCTACACTTCATATCGTTTAGTGTTCATATCATTAGTTAGAAAGAAAAAATTCAAATGACGTGGTAAGTTTCAAATTTTTATACACGCTTTAATTGCATAATCTAATTATGATTTTTAAAGTTCTCTATACGATCTTTCAATGTGGAAAAAAGATTTTTAAAAATGTATATGCAAAACTTATTTCAGAAAAATTACAAAAATGCATCAGTAAAATTAATATTTAATTTTCATTTTATGAAATTTATCTATCATAAAAAACGATCTTTTAATATTTATCAGATTCATCACTATTCATTAATCATAAATAAAGAATTCTCTATACGTAACGTATAATCTCAATAATCTCTATATATTTTTATATAACGGTTTGCTTGAATTGGAAATTGTATAAATTTACAAAAAATAATTGACACAAAGATCCGCCTTGATTGAATATGACATTTTCTATTCATTTATTTGTATTTAAAAAATATCTTTTAAAGTAATTAATCCATATAAACGAAGAATTTTTTATTTGATATAAACATATTATAATATAATGTGAGAGAGATGCATAATGATATGTATATTTACTTTTTCATTGATGACAATTATTTGATTAGTCAACATCTTTTTATTACATTTTATTGAACATTAATCCATTACGATCGTCACATTAAATATCAATATAATATTTAAAAGCCAAATGAAATATGAATAAATATGAAAGAATTAGAGCTAAAAGCGAGAAATGAGAATAAAGAAAAATTTTTCACTTTTATGTATTTAATTTGTCTATTTAAATTAAGAGATTTAAATTAAAATAAATATATAAAAAGTAAAGGAAGCAATTTAAATTGTCTGACAAATTAAATTAATGAAATTAACTAAAAACAAAACATAAAACATTATATTATATTCAATACATTTAACTTGAGAATCGAAAGAGGAAATTTTATAACACATTTTACAATACTTTGGTTTTTACAATAAAATCGCTTTCTAGGATCTATACCATTATCTAACTATTGGTCTGCGACTCAGGTAGCGAACATCGTACGTAAGTATATCGGCTTATATCTTATCGTTCGCGAGTTAAGCTGCGTCCAGCTTGCAGTAAAAGAGCAAGATCGAAATCGAGAGCGTACATTATACGGTTAGCAGATTCGATCATCGTTCGCGATTACGGCGAGACTCTCCCTGTATGTCGATTTTGCTTCTATCGCGACAGTTTGATAAAATCGGTCGGTGCCGCCATAACGTTCACATATACACACACGCATACATATATGGTTATCCACGCACATTCGGGAAACAAAGTAACGATCAAAATGCCACTGCTATGAGAGCGCTAATGGCAAACGTTTTCCGTCGAAATGGACGAGTTTCGAAATAGCATGTCGAAAATCGCTATCGAAGCTCGTACAATTGCCTCCCGCGATGTGACGAGAAATGGTTTAAATCTGCTAAAAGGATTGACGCGACGAGTTTAGTAGAGAAACTAAAATTGCGTGTGCTGCAATAACACAACTTACTTATTTTATACATATATTGGAGACCAATTTGGAAGCTGTAAACAATGGAATGTAAAATAACTACAATGTGTAACTGAACAATAAATTGTGGAATATAGTGCGGCGAATGTTATTAAGTAATTCATTTGTTTACTGATACAATTTTGGATCAATAGATATACAGTTATTGATTATCAATATATCGCTTCAAGCAATTGTACACATCTCAAAAAAAAAAAAAAGGAAAATTAAATCTGTGATGTTTAATACAATAAATATAATTAATAATTTACATATAATAATTTTTTAATTGTTTTTTATTTTGTATTACGTTCTGTAAAATAAATTTCAAAGAAAAACGACTGGAAATTGAGGCACGATTATTTTCATGATCGTTCGTTTTTCTCTTAAATTTTCCCAAATTTGGTGCACCGGCGGTTGCGTGGACGAGCGAAGGTTTATAGCGATAAACTGTCGCAAAATAGCGGCGTAAAAATAAAAGTAACGATCAGGCTCCGGGCTACATTGCAATCGGCGTTCAGACGTTTCCCACCGAAATGCTTGCTCTCGCAAGCAAAAAGAGCGCCTGGCTTCAGCTTTTAACTGGAAAGCCGGGTTTGCGTGGAACGTGCGGAACCCGCTGGGCCCTGAATACATCGAATAATCTTCGATGTCGCTAACGAGAGTGCACCCCTCGCCGGTGGTTTACGGGAGGTTCCAGTCCGAAGTTGTACCAACTCACGCCAACTTGCTATAATAGACGCCTAACGAGATAGCCGAAGCTGAACGCGAGCTATCGCTGTTTCGAGGAACACGTAGCTATCGTTAAATACGATGTAACAAATGTTAGGAAAAAAAAGAGAGAGAAAGGATTCTTGTATCGTCAGGTCGCACGCTACTTTCTCGTTAATTCAAGAGAGAAACTTCGCAAAAGAAATAAATTGGAAAAGGGAACGAAGAAAAAGCGAATCATCCTACGATTATAATAGAAGACAAATTTTATAATAATAATAATAATAATTTATAATACTGTGACGTAAAATTCAATCAATAAATCTTAAAAAGGGTTAGCATTAATCTAGATTAAGAATTAATTTAATGTAATTTAAATATGAGAGAAGATTTTTTTTACTATTTCTCTCACTCCCTTTCCCTACTTTCCTCTCTCTCTCTCTCTCTCTCTCTCTCTCTCTCTCTCTCTCTCTCCCTCCCTCTCTTTCTGTCTATTTTTTTTCTAAATAAAACTTTTAATATTGCTTACATATTCATTTACAAGCCGTGGAAACGTCTATAACACGCGTGATAAGATTACGATCATGATAACTGAATCCCAATGGTGCAGGTATAATTAACATGCATTAGGAACTTGACCATTGCTATCGCTAAGCAAAATCTGATCAAATTATTGGAACGCGCAGTACAATAGATACGCTGTTAATAATGTTTCTTAATC